GTTTTCCCCGCATACCTTGTCCTGAAGTCATGGTGAGAACTGAAGCCCTTACAAGGCTTTCCCAGTCTGTCCTCATCTCCTCTTCTGCTCACCCTCTCTGTTCCTGCTGAACACAGGATCTTTGCTCTTCTTCCCGCTGCCTGGGAGAGACACAGCCGGCTCCCTCTCTGACCTTTTTTGTCTTCCCTGATCTCATTTAAAACAGCATATGCACCCCCTACCCCTGCCCTATTTTTCCTTGTTCTGGATTTCTCCTGGGCACCATCATCTTAGAAGATACATACGGTACCATTTATTTGGTTCATGGTTTGTCTCACCTCCTCACCAACCGCAAATGAAGCCCCCTAAGGGCGGGGACTTGTGTTTTGTCTGTTGTTGTGTCCCTGGTGCCCAGACCAGGAACCGGCCTCTAGCTGTGTTCGGGGTTTGCGGAGTGACGGTCAATGAGTCCCCACGCCGAGGCTGGGCCTGGCCTCCAGTGAAGGGTTTCTGGTAGAGCACTCTCAGAGGGCTGAATTCAGGAGAGGCATTTCAAGGAATTTTTTAAACATGAGCTAATGTTATCATTGGCTTTGTTTCACGAGCCAGTGTCTCAACCACAGCATCATCGAACTGCCTGCATAATGTAACGCCAGAAAGGAGTGTACTGTACCCATCTCGGCGCTCCTGTCCACTGGGAGCCAAAGTCTGTTCATTTTGTCCTTTATAAAATTATCGCTGCTTAAAATTTCTAGTTCCCAATTTCTGGTTTGTCACCACTAATTTATCTATCATTGGCAATATTTTGACATCACCTTACTTTTTTTCTCCCAAAGGTGTTTTAGCAGTGAATCCATGGATTATCTTTTTCCCTATTTTTCTGCATTTTCTTTCATAAGAATGTCACTTAAAAATGATAAATAACCAATGACTTCTCAGGGTGGGGGGCTTTCTACTAAGCCTGCACAACTCCAGTGTAAGGCAGAGGAACATTTTTTTTCAAATCCCATGTTCAAAGTCCTGTCAGTTGTCAAAAATCCCTGGAGAGCCAATGGTTCAAAGAACTGACAATCACCATGAAAGACAAGGAGGGCTTGCATAATCTTGGCAAGGTTGTTGATGCCAGATAAGTTTCTCATGCAAGGGTTCAAAGGTATTTTCAAGAAGCTACGACTAGAGAGTGAGATTTGACTTTATAATCTAGGCCAACCAGGGCCTGTGGCCAATGGAATTCATGGGCTTCTGGGAAGAGTGTGAGGTGCAAGGAATGCTTCATTTGGCATCCAAGGAGATGGAATGAAGTCACTTTCCTGCGAAAAGAAATGATACGACCCTGGCTCTTCATGAGAAATTTAGGATCAAAAGTAAAAATGAGTTTAGGTTAAGGTATACACAGTACATACAAGTGCTTTACATACTGAAGAGGGCTCTACAAATATTTGGTGTTGATGTTTGTCATTAGCTGAGCCCTGAATTTATCCAAAGGAAAAATGAGTTTGAGTTTAAACATTACAACCTGTTGTGTGCCTTAGAACCTGTCATTCCATTTTTAAAAGTGTTTCCTAGTTTAATGCAGATCTTTTTGGCCTTACCTCATGATTATTTAGAAGCTCAAACGAATGTGGAAATGTTATGGAAAGCATGGTAGGATCTGAAGTGTTATTCTTTTTTTTAGACTTCACCCAAGGAGGTGCTCACTGATTTTAGAGAGAGGGAAAGAGAAACACCAATGTGAGAAAACATCTTTCAGTTACCTTTCTGCTGTGCCCTGGCCAAGGACGGAACCCACAACCTAGGCATGCGCCCTGGCTGGGAACTGAACCCATGTCCTTTTGGTTTACAGGATGATGCTCCAGCCAACTGAGCCAGGGCTGAGATGACATTCTATTGCCTTTGAGTTGCTGAAGGCCTCCTGGAGCATAAAATACAGTGCATACCTCTCCCTGTTAGAATCACGTTAGATAAGAAAAGCCCATACGTTATATAAATATGCTCCCAAAATTAATATTTAAGTGAATTTTTAATGTAATGATTTTCCTTCCATATTATTTAAAAAATTCCATAAAGGATTAGGTAGACTTTTGTTTGTTTGTTTTTAATTTTAAAAGGGAAGCAGCCAGAGTGTGTGAAGCACACTGTTTTGTTTACCGAATCAGGAAGCTCTACACAGGCTGGAACCCTCCATGACCTTCCTAGGGATCGTAAAGTCCATGGCCGGTTCTAGCCTGTGTAGAGCTGTCCACTGTCTGTGGAAACACAGGGCTTTTCTGTGTCCATATTATCAAGGATATCCAAGATTTAATTAAAACACTAGAGGACAGTGAGAAGGATTAACAAGAAGGACTGAGGTAGCTGTCGGGTGATTACATTGCTGGCGGCGGGGGGTGGGGTGGGGGGTGTGTGGCACGTGGGGAAGAGACACTTCTAGCATCTGTGGGGAAAAAGCTCTGGCCTCTAGCAGGTCCCAGCCTCCTGAGATTTGGCGGGCCATCTGGCCCCCAGGCTGTGACTGGGGCCCAGACCTGGAGAGCAGGACCCTGCCATGGCCCAAGGTGGGAAAATGCTGATCCTCTTTCAACAGACAGCAAACTCTCTGCCTGCAGTGTCCCTGTGTTTTTGACTCACTGTGTTACTGCCAGAGCCAACAAGTGCCTACCACCAACAGGTGATCATAAATGTAACACTTGATGAGTCAGTAACTGGAGTAATTAAACTATTAATGGTGACAACAGACATATTTGCAATCTGCCTAGTGCCCACGCTGGTGATGAAAAGGGTTGTTTGAGCAAGAGGGACATCCTTAGTTCTAACAGTAATGCCTGGAGCCAGGGAAATGCTGTCTTCTTACTGTTATTGTAATGATACTGTACCTGAAGCTTGAGTAGCCCCGAGAATCACCTTTTTAATAGCTATTTAAATCTAACAGTTAGGCTACAAAATCCTTTGGTTGATAGGTTCCACGTTTCACAACACATACCTTACAGTATTTGTGGTAGTATAATTTTTAAATTTCAAAAACATAGTCTATCAATTAAAAAATTTTAAATCTTTAACTCTACTACCCATGAGACAAGGGGTATTTATTCAATTAGGGTGAAATCCTCACAGAAATCCAGTCCATAGCTCTTGGAGAGAATACTTGATCTGCTCACATATGAGGATTTGGGGTGTGTGTGGTTTTGGGGGGTTTGGAAATCTAAATATTCTCTTACCCTTTCCTGCTCCTAGGTAGGTACAAAGTGACATGACCTCCTCCTCCTCCTGGCAATGACTGTGTAGATAAAATCTTTCCTTAGAGTGGCCCTTGGCAAAGTAGCCCTTGTCAAGGAAATAAGGTACCAGTTGACAGTACAACAATCCATATACAAATCAGTTTAATGGTCATTTCTGTAAGTAGATTTATATAAACAGAAAATAGTTCCAAATTTTCCTTGCCAAGCAATCAAGCAAAACACTAGGTCGAACACATTTAGTCGGCTGAGACCTTGAGGACAACAGCTGGGCCCTCTGAGAAACACACGAGCGCCATCTGGAGGGCATCCTTGACACTACAGTGCAGCAACTGAAGAACCTAATGTTTTTAAGCATTAAGGTACAGTTTGTGAACAGGTGGGCAACACAGGCGGGAATGAATGACCTTCAGCCTTCATTCTTCATCACGCGGCCTGAGCTCCTGCTATTCTTCAAGCTTCCAGTAGAGGATTGAGAATGTTATTATTGAATGAGGTACTTTCGGCTGAGGTGAGAAACAAAACCCTAACATCTGAACGGTATCGACATCAGCTTGTTGATTAAGGAGAGGTTAGGACGTAGTAGGTAAGAGGCAAACAGGCAAACATGTGCCCAGTCTGGTGCACCTCACTAACCCCTACCCTACTCTGAGTAGGCCCTGGTATAAACCCACCAGAACTTTAATTCACAAGATGATTGTTTAGTTTTTTCTGGAGGCATTTACCTTTTAATAGGTTTAAAGTATTAAAAATTAGTTAAAAAAGAGAGATAAGGAGCAAAATTTCCAGTAGATGTCAACTGTCTCAGGGGGTATGGTAGAGAAAGATAACTATCTCCTTTATCAAATACTTAATTATTCCTTTTTAAAAACCTAGGTCTATTCCATACCGATACACTTGTTCTAACGAAAATGTTTTAAAAAAGAGCATTTAATCCCTCAAAAGTCTGAGTAGTTAAAAACATCTACGTTTCCCATGTTCATATATTGCTAATGAGATACTAGTATTTTTAATGAGATACTAGTCTCCTACCCCAAAGCTTGTCAAATATCTCTGGTGAAAATATTTTTTTAAAAATTCCAATCACCCAAGAGACCAACATTTGTGTTAAGCTGAAAACTTTATGGCAATATCTAAAAGTTTAGACTATCTGTATTTATCTCATTACAGACCACTTGTAGTGTGCCGGTCTACATCTGAAGACCACTGCTCTACTTCTTGTTTTCTCTGAAAAATAAAACCTGCGTTTGACCTAAAGATCTCTGCCACCAGTCACACTCCAGAGCTGGACTTACATCTTCCTTCCAACTTTGAAAAGAACCTGGTCTTTGAATCCATACTCACAGACACTTCAAACACTTCCTCCTCCCCACTTTAAACCGACCCTCTACTTGGAATGTGTTTGCACGACTCCCCCGTTCCCTTGCTTGGTTCAACCCCGTTCTGTTTGCTGACTTTACTTGTGGTGAATTTGGCCCGGACACCGGAAGACTGTGTAAGACACTTGGGTAGCACAGAAGTTCACGTATTTGAAGATTAAAAGGGAAACCTGTGAAAACATCTAGGAAAACTACGTAGCTGACAAGGTATGTGTTTTCTTGATAGAAAAATTATAAGAAAGCTTCCGTTGAATTTTTCTTTCCTTTTTCTTTTTTGCCAAAATAAGCAAGTTCAAAGAGTCTTTTGACTGATAAGCAATTCTTTCATCCACTGGTTGAAAAGTAATGAATTCTTTCTTATCCCAGTAACCCAAAACTGCAAATTATATATATATATAATTTCTCATATATATATATAGTAGTGTTCATAAATTTCTATTTATAAGGCACAAAACCCACAAATCTCTTAGAGAAAGAAAGAAAACAAAGATTTGAAGACAATGAAATAATCTAGTAATAGAAGACTTCCATCAAACTGGAGTGAAAACAAACCACTTCCCTTTTTAGTAAACAGAAACCTTATACTACTGATAGGAATGGTAGCCTCTGAGAAGGCTGCCGTGGCTCAGCTCCTCTGTCAACGCAGCCCCTTTCACTGGATTAGTGTGAAGTCAGTCCTCAGAAAGACTGTGTGGCCAGAATGCATCAGTGGCAAGTACCATCTATCCCATAGCAACTGCTGGACAGTGATGCCCTCCACAGAACATTCTAGCTACACAGTGTGCCGTTCACCATTCTTACCCAAAGGAGCCTTTATGGACCAGCCCACAGTGAGCACACACACTCACCTGTCCTGGGGCTTGATTATTTTAAGGGTTCAGCTCTAAGTTGAGGCATAAGTGCCTGCCTGAGGACCCTGAACTAGGTTGGTATGTGGGTCCTTCGTGGGGTGGCATATATTTAAAAGGCTGGACCTTGGATTCCTCTGGAAATAATTAGATCCCTAAGGGGACCCTTAGAACCAATTCACTCTACCAGGGGCTCTTCGAACACCCCGGTCAAAATCTGGAGAAGATCCCCAGGAGCAAGCCTCAGGTCTTCTGGCCTGCGAGGCAGCCCTAAGAGATCTCCAGTAATGCTCTAGTCCACAGATACAAAACAGAAGGGTCCCCTGATCCCCAACAGTATCCATGCTTGTTGGCTGCGCTTCCTGGTGGCTCTTGGCACTGTACTTTCTAGTACCGTTTGCATTAGTATTATATGAGAATAAGCTTCCTGGATTTCCACACGAATCCAGGCAACTACTGAAAGTATGACTACTTCATCGTCCTGTATATTACCAAGTTATGGATGGGAGTGAACAGCACTTCAGAGAAAATAGCCAGGATGATGATGTCATCCTGAGAAAAGGGTCAGGGTTAGAGTGGGCGACAGAGGAGGGGCCAGAAATAGTATGAAATGAATAATTCATGTCTAAGGGTTTCACTGAATCTTGAAGATTCTGAATTCTCCACCCTGGACAAGCTGATATCCAAAGGAAACTGGGTCCTTGGATCAATTCATTCAATCACCAAAGACCAGCATAGGAGGATGGCAATCCCAATGTGGTGTGGACTGGCCACCTACTTGTCTTCCAGCCCAAGTTTATCATCTCTTCAGCTCCAGGACTTGCCCCTGGAGGCCACACTCAGAATTCTACTGAATTTTCAGGTAGGAAGATGATCCGTAATTCAGCATCCCATGAATCTTAGCCAGGGTCCCTTCCTTTCCTGTGTCTTGAAAGGCTATGACCTAGACAAAAAAGGAACACTCCTTCTTTTAACAACTATAACAACATAACTCTTGAGTCCTTTGGCTTCCCAAGGCCTTGGCCTTGGAAATATGTCTCAATGTAAAAGCCACCTCTTAAAAATAAAAAGTCAACTCCCATTTTGTATCGCATTTTCCCCAAATTGAGATGGGATGCATCCAACTTCGCCCCACCTGCCAGCCTCAGGACTCTTTCTTCATCAGTCTGGCCTTGACTTTGTGCCTCAGGAGGGCTGCAGTGGTGGCACTGCAGGCTGTCAAGAGGAAGAAAGACAGACAAGCCATGTAGACAGACAGGGGACTGTGGCGCTGCAGGAAGATCTCCTGCCGCCCCTGGTAGTCCAGGAGGATGGCCTCCAGCTGGGAGAGCGTGCAGATAGACAGAAACACGTGGAAGAGCTGATGCCCATGGCCCACAATGTCACAGGAGCCTGGGAAGTACTTCTCAGGAACTGGGCAAGAGAAGAAGTAGGCGCTGACCAGGAAGAAGAGGATCTGCAGGGTGTGGTACCAGGCGGCCTGCTCCTGGCAGCCAGCCAGGTGGCACAGGGCCACTCGGTGCGCCACGGGGCTGATGTCTAGGATGAAGGCCAGCCCTGAGGGCACCACTTGACATATCTTCTTCATGACTGGGTAAGGCCTCTGGTAACGATACTTGGCGTAACAACAGCCAGCGCAAGACAACCAGCCACAGAAGGCAGCTGCCGGCAAGAAGAAAAGCCAGAAGTGCTCGTACCAGGCCTGGTCAGAGGTGTAGAAGAAGTGAACCAAGGCACTGCCGTACTGGTAAATGCTGACGCCAATGTAGTCCACAAAGTAGAAAGTGTAGTGGGAGAGCTCGGACTTGGACTGCAGCAGGTGGGCCAGAACGCTGAACATGAGGTAAGTGATGGAGGACAGGACATACAGGAGCAGGGGCAGGGTGCTGGCCGAGGTCCACGGCAAGGCCTCGGCCTCGGCAAAGGCCCAGAATCGCAGAAGGACAGCCAGAGCCGCCAACAAGTGGGTCCAGACGTTGACCACCTCATTGTGTTTCTGAAAGAGGCTGAAGAAGTAGTAGCGCCACTTGTGTCCCGTGGGGCGGTAGCCGGTGCGGATGTAAGGCTCCCGGAAAAGCTGGGGCACGTCTGTCTCTGGCACGGTGCAAGGCATCTTGGGAAGCCCGTTCTCCAGAATCTTGGGCAGGCGGCGCAGCTGCTGCCCACTGACAGACAGGGTGCTCAGGTGCTCCAGGATGGCTGTCGTCATGGCTGCCCAGCACAGCAGGACAGGGGATGCAACCTAAAGAAAAAAAGGAAAAGCAGCAAAAATGCAATGAGAGAGAGACTGAGATAAGAGAGCAAAGGAGCTGTGGGTTTTCTTAGTGATGCGTAGCTTTCTAGTGTAATAGGGGAGGCAGGGGGCTGCAGGCAGCTACTTTGAGTCCTTTTTTCCCCATCTGCAGAATGATAGAGTTGGACCAAGATCCCTCACTACTGTAACATTCTGATTTTATCCCTACCGCCCATTACGGTGTAAGGCCAAGTCATGTCTTAGGAAATGGGAATGTTAGTCACACTGTTAGAACGATATTTAGAAAGTAAAGGTAACTTTAAAGGCTTTGGAGTTTTCTAGATGCTATTAAAATGCAACCGTCAAGACAGGCTGTAATATGCAATATTATATTGAAATATAAAAGTTACAAATATTGAGATTACTAATGATAGCCTACATTTCCTAAGGACCTAATCTTAAATTATTCACTGATTTCACTGGTAACTTGAAAATCTGACATCAGTGATAGTAACTTGAACCTGGAAGTAAAGACAAACAAATGAACATCAGTTAGGTCTGTAAAGACCCATGCATATTCGGAGAACTCTTTTAACAGTTGAACAAAATTAACACGTGGCCGAAATTTGACAGAGTCTAACTGCAAAGACTGGATTTCTGGGGTTTTTGTTGTTGTTGTTTTTAAATTATGATCTGGAAAGGAGGTAGAGTTTTGGATTTGTCTTTCCTGGGTACCAAATCTGTGATCAACAAATTTCAGGCCTTAAAAAGGCTGAACTTGGAATCTTTGGTTGGCAGAGGAGCCACATAAACACGCTGATTATTTCATAAAATAGCTGCAAAGGGTCATGTAAGTGGTTGAGTCAAGAAGTGGATTTTTAGCATGTGTACAGTTACCTTCTGTCCTCCCCATTTCCCAACCCTTTTCTTCAGAAAGGTGTGAAGCCCAAACTGTTGCAACGGCCCCCTGCCTGTGGCGCCATCTTCTGGGAGAGACATGCAAGTCCTCCTCAGGGCACCACTGATCTTAACCTTCCTACAAACACAGCTTAACCGACACTGAAAAAGAAAGGGGTATCTAATCAGGTCTAAAATGTAGGACATGCAAATTAATAAAACGTGAAATAAGTTCAGGGAGACTTGGAGTCAAGCCGTGGTGTTTGGTCACTTCCTGGGTAACCTTGGGCAAGTTACAGCACTCACTAAGCTTCAGTTTCCTCATCTGTAAAGTGGGAGTGATAATTTTACGTTACATGGGGGGTTGTGATGGTTGAATGAGAGGATCGAAAATATAAAGTGCTTAGCACCCTGCCTGGCCCAAGATGGGTGTTCAGTAAATATTAAGTAATTGCTGTTATTTCTAGTACTATGAGCTGGGCTCTATGCTAGGGACGCAGAGGCCAGTAAGAGATGCTGCCTGCTTTTCAACGTCAGAGTCTGCTGAGGCAGACAAGGGGGGAGTCGTGACCCAGACTTGGGATGGGTGCTCCACTGGAGGCAGGCACTGGTCAAAGCGTTTATGCCAAAATAAGGACCCGCAGAGCCTGGAGCACCGAGGAGGGAGGTCGCACTGTGTGATGTGAGGGAGGGAGGACTCCGGCGTCAGAGACCGGAGCCCCAGCCCTGAGCCCCGCCCTGGACAAGACAAGAACTCCAGTCCGGGCTTTGTCATCTGAGAAGCAGAGCCTGATAGAGAGAAGCTGCCTCTCAAGGCTGATGTAAGGACCCTCGTGACGTAATGCCTGTGAAGTGTTCAATGGAGTGCTTGGTTCCAAGTCTGCAAAAACATCTGCCGTGATCATGACCATCACCGGTGGCACAGTCAGGGGCAGTTCACAGTGGACGATCTGATGTCCTCTCCGTACCCTGTACCTACTTGCACGGCACCCTCTGTAACCCTGGACTAAGCCATTCGTGGAGCTAGACTGGCCAGAGGTTCCTCACTAGGAATGGGCCATCGACTAGTGCTCAATGTAAAAATTAGAGAAACTTGCTAAGAAGTAAGGTGTCAGTCAGAAAGACAGAGAAAGAGTGGGAGAGAGAAAGAAAATTGTCACCAGAATACCTTAAATCATTTAAAAATGGAAACAAAAAAAAAGCTAGGCAGTGCTTTTGCTGTCAGCCAGCAGGGGGAGCCAAGAGCCCGGGCATTAGTCCTAGAGGGAGACTCCAACTGACCTAGGCATCAGTTGATGAAGGAGCAGGGCTGGGGTAAGGGAGAGGAGACGCTGAAGGTGGGAACAGGTGGGATGCACTGGTCCCAGGGTCAGGTGGACCCACTGTGGGGCTGAGCCTGGGAGGACATTTCAAATTGTCCTGTCGGGGGTGGCTGAACAGCATGTAGCCTGGGGGAGCTGGGCTTGCAGAAGCGCTGGGGAATCAATGGGCTCTGTTCTCTAGACACAGGCTTCTACCATCTCTTGTGAAGCACAGAGAGAAATCAGGTGAAAATATAGGTCTGGTTTTGTGGTTGGGTGAAATAGAGATGAGTCCCTGGGGATACGAGCTGTAGAAGATGCTCCCTGGCACGTCCCACCAGCACCGACAAGTGTTGGCTGTTTCCATCACCTCTGGGCACCCAAAGCAAATGCAGACCATTCTGCACCGAAAGTGAATTGATACATAACTGCACAATTTCTACTCATCTTTGCATCCTTGAAAATAGGGTGCCTAGCACATGTTCTATCTGATGGCACAACTGACTTTTTTAAGATAAAACCTTGGGTATGGGTTGTCTATCAGATGGAACCAAGTCCAGTTCAGACCTGGGGGCCAACTAGTGTCGTTTGTTTTCAGGAAGAAAGGACAGATCAGGATGCCACGTTAAAGTCAATTCCCAGAAACCCGGCTGCAGGGCTCTGACCCCGAGTCCCTTCAGCCCTTATATCACCACCTCATAGTTTTAAGACCCTTTCAGAAACTTACTCCTACTTCTCTGTTACTTAAGGAAACTAAACTAGGAAGAGGTTCATACAAGTAAGAAGCAGAGAAGTATAAGACCAAAATGATATTCACTTTGACCTCAAAGGAAGAGGTACACGGGGGCAAAACTGGCAGAAACATCATTTCCCTTGCAAATGAAACCTCCTGTTTCAAGGATCCTGAAGATGCAGCCACACTGGTCTCAAGGTCTCCTTAACTCCATCCTCTGGAGTGTGTAACCCAGCACCTACAGGGTGACTTTGAAGTTCCAGGGACGTGTATTCCATGGCCTCCAACTCAGGACATGGTGCCTTATCACCTTCAGCAGTGAGGGCGGTAAAAAGATCTGGGTCCTCAGTCTGTGGGAGAAAAGGACCTCAATTTCCCTTTGGAAGTCCAGGGTCAAAAATTTCTAAACCAACGATCAGAAAGAGAGGGGATTGATTTTTTTAAATTGTCACCCCAGGACATTTTTGCATTGCTTTTAGAGAAAGAGGAAGGGAGACAAGCATCAGTTGTTTGCTTCCCACACCTGCCCTGACCTGGGATCAAACCTGAAATCTAGGAATGTGCCCTGGCCAGGAATAGAAACCGTAACATTGGTTTACGGGACAACACTCCAACCAACTGAGCCACAGCGGCCAGTGCGAGTGGATTAATTTTTACTCCTTTGCTTAGCAACTACCTCTCCCACTGCCATAAAATTCTCCCTTTGTCTGAGAGTAGCCACCACAGCCACGATGATGGTGATAAGTCACAATTTTTTATCATCATTAACTTCAGAACCCACTGTCCAGCGGGGTCTGGCCACTGCCCTGGTGACCAGACCACAGGGAGCAGTGCTTGCAGATGGGCTTCCAAGGGCCAGCTGTAAATTTTGGGAGCCTGTTTTGGAGGAAGCACGTATTGGCATCACGAAGCTGGTGCGGGAACACACCTCTCAGCCCTCCCAGGCAGGCACCGAGTAAGGTCCCGCCCCCCGTCATGCCCTCTGTCCCCAGGCACTCCTCCCCAAGCTCATGAGTTGGTCATCTGCCAACTAAGATGCTCCCTTAGAATGACCTCCCTTGCCAACTCCTATGCCAAGACAGCTGAAATGGAAATCTTCCTCTAGAACCCTTGTGAACTGCATAAGCTCAAGTCTTAATAATTCTGATCATTAGGAGAGCTTTTTCAGAGCACAGATTATCTGCTCCACAACATGCGGAGCAAGAACAAGGCCCCTTCCTCAAAGAGCCTGCAGGGAGAGTCTGACTGCAAAAGTCAACGGCCAGCACCACCAGACTGCACACCGTTGAATGTTAAGTGGAGTGAAATACAAACAGGTCTCTACGGAGCAGAGTACTTGGGGGCACACCTGGGCACCCGAGGGAGAAACAGGATTTGGCTAGGTCTTGAAAGCCGGACAGGACTTAGACAAGTGGAGGGGTGAGCTGCAGGACGTTCCAGGAAGGGGGCAAAAATATGAGCCTAGGAAGGGCGTGGCTTCTTCGCGGGCCGTGGAGAGGGGCTGTCCCAGAGCAGTGAGGAAGCAAGTGGGTCAGAGGCCACAGCATTAGTGAAAGGAGTTTGGGTTTGATGTGGCAGAAAGGGGATTGGAGTCCATTTCTCCTCCTTGAAGCTTTGAGCTCGTTCAGCCCTCATGTCACCTGAGCTCTGGGGAATTCATGCTGCTGACCACGGCCTTCTGTCTCAGCTCGAGTGACCCTACCCTCTTTGGTCCGCCTGTTTTTTTCTCCCACTGTCCCTGTCCCTGTGGTGGTGTCCCCAGGTTTCCACATCCACAGTATTCCTCACACAGGTGCTTCTCCCACACCCTTGGCTTCAGCTGGCGTCTGCATCAGATGATTCCAAACATATGTCTCCAGCCAGATCTTTCCTGAGGTTTGGGTTCAAACGTGCAGTGGCTCTGGGTTCGTCCAGCTGAATACTCCATGAGCGCTTCACACCCTCCTTCTGCCCACACTTGACCCTCCTCCCCCTACGTCTAACCTGTCATCGAAACCTGTTGACTTTATGCCAACAGCTCACTCATCCTTCCCATTTCTGCTGCCGTCCCTTCATGCAGGCGTCTGAAGGGAACAAAT